ATACATAAATAGTGTAGTTTGCTTTGGATTTTGGTTGAAATAAGTAATTTAATCTGGTCAGATAAGTCATTTATCATCACTGCAAGCCAGGAAATGATTTACCAAGTTGCATCAGCTAAAAATGGCATAACCAGACCAAGACATCACCAGGTTCTGCTCCTCACCGGGTCAGTGGTGAAGGCACCAGGTCACTCGTCTTTCTGGGGTTCTTCTGCTGGTGGATCAGACCAGGATACACCACGAGGAGGACTCGCCAGGAACCGCCCAAGGTAGCTGAACGTCACTGTGACAGCTTCAGGGGTCAGTGAGGGCCACAGCTGATCAGCACCTTCTGTCAGTTTGGACTTCAAGCCAAGAACGTGAGTCTTGCAGTGAGAAAACGCTTCGGTTTTTCTAACGAGTTGTAACTGAGCAACATGCTTATCTGCTCAGGACTGAACGAGTGGATCTCGGGACTACATCAGGATCGGGGTCCAAGACAAACTGGTCAGTTCGGGAGTCGAAGACAAACTGCTTTGTCCCACAAAGAGACTTTGTGCAAAACAACAGCTCTCAGATGTTTCGACTACTCTCAGGACCATCGTGACTTCCCTCTGAAGCAAACCGCTCCAGCTCCTAGGACTTTTAGAACAGGTGTCTCTGAAGGAATAATCACGCAGCCCATTTCTGACACGAAGACAAAAAGAGATCACACAACTCGGGAAATAATAACCTGCTAATATGATAAACTCAAAATGACAACTTAGCATTTCAAATGAGATACAATCTCATCTCTAAATGATGATGTAGCATCTCATAAGTAGATATGATCTACAACAGCAGCTACAATTATCATCTCATTATTATGAGACACATATTTTTGAGATGATGTCATAATTATCAGATATTAGGTCATACTTAATGACAATAATGACATGCTAAATCATAGTTAGGAGACCCATAATTATGGAAGGCTAACTCATAATTTTGAGATGCTTGGTCAAATATTTTGAGGTAAATAAACTCAAACGTATGCCGCATCTGATAATTAGGAGATACTAAGTCATAATTACGGTATTACATACTAAGTTCAATTTATGACATGCTAAGTCCTATTTATACTTTTGTCAAAAGTACGACTTATAATATGGAGTCATATTTATAAGACACTATAGGCCATGACTGTAAGATACTAAAAATCCAGTGTCCAATTCTGGTCCTCGAAGGCCACAGTCCTCCATGTTTTAGATGTTTCTCTGCTTCACCACTTGAACAAATGGGAGATTAACTGGTTTTTGCACAACTTTAAGACATGCTGAACCACTAAGTCAGCCACTGAATCATGTGTTGGAGTGGGTAAACAACAAAAAACATGCAGGATAGTGACCCTCAATAACTGCTGTACAAAGCATCCTGATGCATACTCATTAAATCTAACAAGCTGAGTCAGGTCTGCTGAACGGGTCCTTCTTTGTTGAAATGTTTTGTCTTTGATCCAAAAGACTTCTTCAGTCTGAGAAGCTGCAAACAAAAACACCTTCACATCCACTTTACTAAGCCTTATCTATGGAATGCTGCCATTTTTACAAGATATGGTCCAACAGTTAATACTATCTGATAACAAGGAGATGTTAAGTCAGGGGTCTGCAACCTGTGGCTCTGGGGCCACATGTGGCTCTTTGGTACCTCTGCAGTGGATCTTTCAGGCTTTGAGCAAAACTAAAACAAAAGCAAATTTTATTTAAATTATTGCCAACAATGAAAATGGCTAATTTTAGCAGATTTTCTGTCATTGTCAAATATGTGAAGGTTAGTACAGATACAAGGCGTAAAACATGTGGACTACGTCATGCTAGTAGTTTGTTAGCCACTTTAAGTCGACTTCCGGTCTCTCAGCGTGATCTTTCTCTCAAAACCACCAGAATATTTTGGAATATCTTTAAAACAAGCTGCTGAGAAGGAATATTTTATGACTGGAAGTATAAACACACACACAAAAAACAAATTCAAAGTAAATAAAAGTATTTATTTTTCTTTCAAAATGTAATTGGATATCCAACAAACTTGCCTAATTGTATACTATCTTTACTTTATGCTTTAAGGAGGATACTGAATTCTTCAACGGTGAAGAGAACTCACATCGGCCTGCAGAGTTCAATGCTTTAATTTGAATAAAATTGCTAAAAATATATACTGTATATATATTTTCTTTCTTTACATGAATCTGGTCTTTTATTTTGTATTAAAATGTAACAATATCAATAAATGTTAATATTAGTTAGACATTTTTCGTTTTATAATGTCACCCCCACTGGACAGAAAAGCCATCTCCAACAAACTCGTGGTCCACGGGCCACCAGTTGACAGTTGTAGCAGGTTTTGCAGCTCCAGACATGTAGTAAGTAACGCGGCAAGAAAAAGGCTCTTTTTATTGAAAAGGTTGCAGATCTGCAGATCCCTGGTGAAAATTGAATGTACGTAAGTATATTTTAAGTATGCTTAATGTTCAAGAAATACATTATAATATGTTTTCAAGTGAATGTACTTATTGGGATTACATCGAAAATGTAAACTCTATAGATTTATCTAAATATACTTCAAGAACATTGTTATGAAATATATTTTGTTTCACTTTATGAAGTACTATTTTTTGCTTAACATAAAATACATTTAAATCAAATATATTTATAAAATTAAACTTCATATAAACTTTTTTTTTTTAAATGCACTTTGAATGTATTTGTAAAATTTTGTTTTCAAACCATACTTTAAAAATATATTACAAATATATGTATCCAACACTTTTCAGCAGTTAACTACCCTGGTGAAAATTTTATGTACTTACGTATATTTTAAGTAGGTTTAATTTTCAAGAAATACATTAAACTATGTTCTCTAGTAAATGTACTTATTAGGATTACATCAAAAATGTAAAATAAATAGATTTATCTAAATATACGTCAATTGTTATAAAATATATTTTGTTACACTTTATGAAGTACTATTTTTTGCTTAATATAAAATACATTGAGATCAAATATATTTATAAAATTAAACGTCATATAAACTTTTTTTAAAAATGCACTTTGATTGCATTTGTAAAATTTTGTTTTCAAACCATACTTTGAAATGTTTCAGCACAAAAAAAATAAATAAATAAATAAAAGAAACTGTCCAGATGACCTGACTGAAAATTGTTGGATTGTATACATGGATTATTGGGCATGGACTTTGTTGGTTTTGAACCAGTTTGACATGACTGTGATGAGGAAGAGGGCCGGCACCGGAAGAGGGGGCATGCCAAAGCAACCATCTTAGCACCTATGTAACTGGTTTGTTTCACTTTGGAATAAGCTGTTGGGGGAAGAATCAATTTTGTGCTGTGTGTTTCCTTGACTGATGAAGACTTCTGGATGGAAGGTGAAACGTCTCAGCACACACACACAAAAAGAAGAAACTGTCCAGATGACCTGACTGAAAATTGTTGGATTGCATACCTGAACTACTGAGCATAGACTTTGTTGGCATACTTTAAAACTGTATTGCAAATACTTTTCAGCAGTTAACAAAGTTTTTTTTTTTTAATATGTATTTGAAAATGTTAATGTTCCAAATTGTACTTTAGGTAACATTTTCCCTAATGCATCCATACATTTTTATGCTGATCACCCAGTTGTTTATTGTCGAGCTAAAACTGTTGCTAAGGCTTTCCAGCTTTTGAAATCTGCATTCAACATCATCCAGACTGATTTGTTCCACCTCAAACTTGTCCTAAATGCCGACAAAACCAAAGGGATGCTTTTTTCAAATAGGAAGTTGGTCCCAGTAGTTCTTCCTCCGATTTTATCCTCAAATGGTGTCCCCATTGAGTTTGTTGATTCCTATAAATATTTGGGTATCTTGGTCGACTCACATCTCTCTTTTAAGCTCCATGTGGAAAACTTGATAAAGAAACTGAAAGTTAAACTGGGTTTCTTTTTCAGAAACAGATCCTGTCTAACCCTGAATGCTAGAAAACGCCTTGTATCTGTGACTTTCCTTCCCTCAATTGATTATGGTGACATTATTTACATGAACGCTCCTACAAGAACCCTGCAGATGTTGGACACCGTCTATCATGGTGCACTAAGATTCATAACTGGCTGTGATTATCGTACCCACCACTGCACCCTGTATTCACTGGTTAACTGGACATCATTAACTTCACGCAGACTCTCTCACTGGTATATTTTCATCTTTAAATCACTTCTTGGTCTGCTGCCTTCATACATCTCCTCCTACATGTCTCTGCGTGAGTGCAGCTACGGAGTGCGCTCTCAGGACGTTATTACCTGCAGTGTTCCCTCAGTGAGGACTGAACTAGGCAAAAGGGCCTTCTCCTATTCCGCTCCTGTTTCCTGGAATATCTTACAAAAAGATTTGAAGCTCTCGACCTTGACCTCTCTAAGTGGCTTTAAGAATCTGTTGGACTCCTGGCAGGGTCCAATGCAGACATGTTCCTGTTTTTAGTTTTCTACATTTGTCTTGGAATCTAGCTGTTTTTTTGTTTTGTTACATTTTCCTTTTAGCCATCCTATTTGTTAAAAAAAAAAAAAAAAACTGTAGTATGCTTCTTTATAACTGTTTATTGTTATTGCTGTTGTCCATTGTTGTCATCTTTCTTTGTTGAAATCAGGTCTCTCTTGTAAATGAGTCATCGAGGCTCAATGGGATTAATCTGTATAAATAAAGGTTGATTGATTTTCAAATACATACATATTTTTTTAAACTTATTATTATATATTTTTAATAATTTTCCAAATAAATACATCTGAAAAATACTTTATGCCTTATGACTCCTGCTTTAAGTCATAATTATGAGGTACTATCTCAGCTAGTGTCTCGTATTTCAGAGGCTTTTTTTGTTTTTATTTTATTTGTGTGTGTGCCTCCACAGTTTGCAGCCCCTGTCGGCCACCGTAGCAGCCCCTGCCAGGTCAGGGACAAAAATCACAACAGCAAGCCTTATTTTGAAGTCAGGCAGAAAGTCAGAGTCTTTTATTTTGAAGGGCCCAGCTCACCCCGCACGGAGCGGACCGAGCTGAGCCCAATCAGTCCAGTCCAGCAGAGACAGCGCCGAGCGGTGTCGGAACTCCGAATATGACAGGAGATAAGTTCACGAGCTGATCCCGGCTGGTCGACAGCCGCTGTCCCGGGTCTTAGAGACGCCACGAGCTCTCGGGACAGTCCGTGTCCCCGGACGAACAACTCTCGGCTCGGATACACGGCGGCAGGAGCAGGGCGGTGTGTGCGGGGGCTCTGGCGGCGGTCCCGCCGCTAGCGAAACATGAACAAAACCCACCGAGTGCCGAGCAGCCATTCTCTGAGTACCGTGGAGGTGAAGAGCAAGGTAATTCCGGGACTTTGTTGTCAGTTTTGTTCGCCATCTTTGCGCCGCTAACTCTCGGCGCTGACTCTCCTCTGGCTAATTTAGCTAAGTGGCTTGGTAGCAGGGTAAGATGTCGCACTAATTACAAATAAGCCTGAGCCGTGCCATTCATTTTTCACCGTTCTTAGGTCGACTGTAAGGACAGATTTTGAGTTTGATTGTGACGCAGGTGTAATTTGTTAAGTTTTGTGGACAGCTTGTATAAGTTGGAGGTTAATGTCAGCTGAGCGAGTCCGTGTCACCTGTCACAACTCCTTCCGCCCGCTCCCTCCATTCATTTACCAAAGTTTGGCCAGTTTTTACAATTTATCAACATTTTGCCAGTTTTATACTATAAATTGGGATTTATACTCGTTTATTTATTTATTCGTGACTAATAAAGTCTTGTTTGTGTCCTCGATACCTGCCGGTTTTAGCATTTCTTTCCCCGGCTGTACAGGTGTCATTCGGTCTGCGGGAGATTGTCTCCTTCCGCCGCTAACTGTAGTCCGCATTAAAAATGCCACTTAAACAAGTTTTTAATTGCTTTTTTTTTACACGTTGTCATAAATTACGACCTTTTTTTGGTGCCACTATCCATAGGTGTCATCCCCTTTAATATTTTCTTTTAAAGACAAAGTTATACACATTTTTCTTCCAACTAAAATAATCCACTTTTCTATATTTAGGTGCATTTATTTTACCTCCAAACAGTAATTTATGCATATCTTTGCTCTGATGTGTAACAAGTGCCCAATCTAGCCGCAAATTGGAGATGATCTTTTTCTCAGCACTTGGCAACAGTAACCACAACACCCAGATCTGCTGCACATCAGCAGTGAGGCGTCATCTGTGCTGTGTGTCGGCTCCACAGCTGCCTGCAGATTAGTAATCTGAGGGCATTTATCCTGTAAAACCACACTGACCATTACTCACAAACCAGCAGCAGCTCACAGGGACATGCACGTGTGCTGAAAACATGTATTTTGTCTAATTATGGAACCAAACATCCTGTAAGCAAGTAGATAAGACAGTCTAAATCACATGTTGTGTGCTCATTATTATTAATTTATTATGTGGTATGTTAGCTTACCCTATGTGGAATGGAGATTCTAACAGAAAAAAATTGTTTAAAAATTTAGACCATTAGTGTTCAATTAAACATCAGTGACATTTGCCTAAAGGACATTTTCTCCAGCAAAGATCCAGAATATATACTGCATATATTTAAAGTATTTTACTGACAGGTATTTTAGTTTTGTTCTTGTTTTTTCCGGTGTGTACCTCATCGAGGGCTGGTAGCAAAGAGAGAGGGGAAACTGTGAGCTAGACGTGGGCATTGCCATAAATTAAAGAAAAGCAACATTTCTTAAAATTAATTACTTTAAATTATAGAAAAGACATTCCACGTCTAATAAATTACTGTAAATCCTTGAAAATTTACACTGCCTAAAATGTATCAACATGATAAAAAAGCTTTACTGTCTTAAATAAAGTACCATAAATGCTGGCAAAGCTGCACCCCTAAATTACCATATATGCTAGTAAGCTGCACCACCTAAAATTAATAACCGTAAATGGTGGAAAATTTGCGTCAACTTAAATTAATTACCATAAATGCTGGAAAAACTTCACCACATAAAATGAATTGCTGCAAATGCTAGAAAAGCTGCACTACCTTAACTGAATTATTACAAATGCATGTCTCCATGTCCAAAGAATCATCAAAACTGCTAAAACTGAGCTGCCTCATTAATTACCATAAATATGGGCAAAAGCTGCACATCTTAAAATAAAATACAGGAACGTGTGCAAATTAAATAATATTTATTAACTAACCTGGGTCCAAATAATTTATGTGGGTGCAGATCCATTTGGAAACCACAATTCAAGACGATTTAAGGAGATCAAACTATATTAATCCTTTTTTATTTCTTGTAATTCATATAGGTACTAAATTTGTATCATAATGGTCTTTTCTTGAATTTACCTTACTGACAATTTGCAGAAACCCTGATCTTAGCTGTGTTTTGATTTCAACAATGTGTACACCCATGTTTATTTGTTGGTATAATTAATATAAACTCACACCCCCATCCCAGTTTGGTGCAGAGTTTCGTCGGTTCTCTCTGGATCGGTCGAAGCCTGGTCGTTTTGATGAATTCTACGGCCTGCTGCAACACGTGCATCGCATCCCCAACGTGGAGCTGTTGGTGGCCTACGCCGACGTTCACGGCGACCTGCTGCCCATCAACAATGACGACAACTACTGCAAGGCGATCTCCACCGCTAACCCTCTGCTCAGGCTCTTCCTGCAGAGGAAAGGTAAGAGAACAAACAGAAAGTAGTTTCAAAGTTCAAAGAAAGGTCCCGTGTTGACATAAAACAACACATCATAGAAATACTGGATTGAGTTGAACATCTAGCATTTGTTCTAGATAGTAAAAATGTGCTTTTACGATTACCATACCTTGTCAGCTCGTAGGCTACACACTGTGGATGTATTTTTCCTGTCTCATGGTGTTTGTATTAAGACCTACATAACCCAAGTTCAGTGACCTTACTATAAAGTAATTGTTTTTTTTACGTTTTATCTATTTATTATTAATATTAATAATTGTTATTTATTAATAATGTCTTGAGCAGCCAAAGTCACTTGGAATGTGTGTTTTTAATGAACTGGCTGCTTTGAAAACAAGGAATTTAAGTTCCATATAATCTTAATTTTGTATACAGTACTCCGGTTTTGTTTTTATTTCACCTCTTCCTTGCTCCTCAATGATCAATAACAATTTATAGGTCCGGTCACAGACAGGAAAATAAAAAATAAAAAAGGTGTAAAACACCATGCTTCTGATATCGCTGCTGTAAACATTTAAACTGTAGGGATAAATACAGATACGAGACAGATATGAGAGACAGAATTACTGTTTTGGCGCTGTGAATTTTTTTTACTCCACGGTATACCTTAAAACAAACAATAGGCCCGTGTCTACCTTCTCAGCTTATAGGCAACACATTGTCCATGTATTTATTCTATATTGAGCTCACTGCAACATTAGCTCTTGCGTTTGGGCCGTATCTCACGGTGTTTATGTTCTGACCTACCTTGGTTTAAGTTTTAAAGTTCCAGTCACTTTATGTATGCAGTACTCCTTTAAATCCCTTGCTGGCTCTGGAATGATCATTACCAATGTTTACGTTACTAACTGTCCTGCCATTACAGCATTCAGGTCTCTCTTGTGAATGAGTCCTCGTGGCTCAATAGGACTAACCTGAAGGTTGAATGAATCACAGGCAGGTTAACTATATATATATATATATATATACTGTATATATTTTTCATTAAGGTGTTTTAGTGAATGTATTTCATGTTTCTGTGATCGTTTGTAATTCCCTAACTGTTCCTGTGATCTGTTTAATGAGTGGAGGATGTAAGGGTCTGCAGGCCCGGATCAAGCCCGCCTGTGTTGTGTTTAAGCTGCCTCACTGTGCCATATGACCATATAGAAGCTAAGCCACTTTGTCAGAAGAAGATTAGTGGGGTCACTGTGTGGGGCTGCTAAGGCACGGTGTTTCGATTACACGCTCCAGACGTTAGTCTCACGCTGAGTTCACTGCTGTTCTTAAACGCACTGGAACAACATGAAAACAAGGCCATGAAGGCGAGCAGGCGGTACACATGGCTCATGCTCTCACATGCACCATCTTAAAAAATAAAAAAAAGAAGCTGAATAAAACACGAATCAATTCAACCACAACCCCCACAGAGTCTAACCTCAGACCTGCTCCCCTTCTGATTTCTGGACCCCCTCCACTTCACCTTCCTGTTATGCCCCAGTTGACCCAAGCTTAAAAAGCTTAGCAGTGTGCAGATGCAGCAAATGGACCCTGTAGATAATTTATATTTTATCTGAAGACGCCAATTATCGAGTGATGACTTTATTGTGAGCGGGTGGCCCCTGCCTGCTGGGGTCAACTTAGACGTTTTTGAACACCATGAGCCAAGGACCTTTTGAAAGAAAAGTCTCCATTTATGTTGTCGCATACCAAGAGCTCTGCTTTCCCAGAACACGGTGTCACGGTAGAGAACGGCTTGTTTTGAAAGAATTGTTTCTGGGAAGAAGTTGACTGAGATAGCATCTGACTCTATCCCTGTTGTAAAAACTTGCATCATGTAGCAAGGTGAGTCTTCTCCTGATGTTAGCAGCGGCGTGCAGGACAAAAACATTTATATTGGAAAGTCCTGGGTCACGGTGAGATCATAACACAGTTCTGTCAGGTTCAGACTGAAGAAATGTGTGTGCTCTTTAGTGCTACAGTGGTTTAGTACAGTGTTTTTAACCAAATATTTCCATGATGTCTTGTCGTCAGATGTGACTAGCTTGTTGATGATTGTTTATAGCACTATTTTTGACAACGTAGCAGTAAACTTTGATCCAACTCTGCCTTTGTGGAGTAGAGAAATCTTTTTACGCAGATATCTTGGAAATGCTTGTCTAATAAAAACAACAATCTATAGTTACAGCGGTCTTGTTTGCGAGTGTTTCGTCTCAGCACAAGTTGGTTGGGTTATTTTTGGCATTGCTGGAAAGTAGACTCTAGGATACATATCGCCTCTGTGCTCTGTGGGTTTAGATGCTCATCGCTGCACAGATAGATGAACAAACATCTGAGAGTGTTAGTTTGTGCATCGTCGTAATCTGGTACTTGTTTTTACTTCAGCTTCGCATTTATTCTCCATTCGCTAACTCATAACAAAATGTTTGTGCCTGTGAGTTTTATTTATACTGCTGGACTTTATACAGTGCTTTTTAGTTTCTTGAACTGGCACAATTCAGCTTCAGTAATCACGACAGCCCACCCCCATTTGTGAACCGTGTGTTGACCATTGAGTTGCCAGTGATGTACTACTGTTTACTAGTTGTCATGGCGCCTCTGAATAGACATTTGTAAGAAGATTATCACTATTGAGGTATTTTTGAGGAAGATGGGAACTTTTGAACAAAGTACTTCTCAGTATAATTGCTTCCCCCCCTCGCTAGTACAAGTTTATTACTGCTATGTTACAGCCAGTTTAAAATTGTCTGCATTAGAAAATCAAAACTAGAGAAATGGCTTTTTCTGTAACAATGCAGTTTGAATGCTGTGCTGAATGGCTTTGCTTTAAGAAGATGAAAATAAGTTGTTAAAGCTACAAGGAGCAGAACACTAGCTATAAGCTAAAAAAAGCAAAATGCAAACGAAAAGACATTAGCAACACGCTAAAAGCAAATAAAGTCGTGGACTGCCACAAGAAGAGCAAGAGACTTGCTAAAAGTTGCAAAAAATGCAAACATAATGGAGCAACAGGCTGGTTAAAGTAGTAAAACATTAGCTAAAACAACTGGCAAATGGTTGGCTAAAACAAGTAGCAAAAGGCTACATAACAGTAGGCCTGTCGCAGTAAACAATAAATCAATTAATCACATGATAAATGAAAATTATCAATCTCATTTTCATTTATCGGCTTTATCGTTTCTTCGTGTCTCTCTCTTTCTACTGAAGACACTGGATGACAAAAGACTCGACTCCGGTGCTCTTCACTGACCCCTCCCTTTCTCTTTATCCATTTTAAATCCAAAATCTATTTTAACCATCTTCTTAAAGAGACACGCTGCTCGCTCCCTCACTATCCATCCTTCGGTTCAAACATCTTATACTGCCATCTAGTGGTTGAAAAAATTACCACACCCAAAACATTAAAAAAAACCTTAAATGTGACAATAAATACTAATTGTTGTCAAATTTCAAACAATATTATCATTTATCGCAATAATTTCTGAGACAATTAATCGCCCAGCAAAATTTATTATCGTGACAGGCCTACATAAAAGCAGCAGCTGGTAGCAAAAAGCAAGTACAAGTGGCACAAGAAGACAAAAATAGAGCCGGCGTGCGGAAACCGATTTCACGGAGGACGTTTTTGCAGGATTTAGAGATCTCTGTATTTCCACGTGAAAAATATTTGGAAATAGTTTGAAAAGTGTAAAAAGTACAGAAAGCAAAGGTAAAGGTAATCTCCTGAATGAGCTGAACATTTTGATAAATGGCTAAAATAGCACAAAGCATGCAGAAGTAGTAGATTGCAAAAAAAAAAGTATGGAAAAATGGGATGTAAATGACATTCAGTTTATGCAACACATCATGATTGATTATTGAAGACAGGAAATCCTTGTGTTATTAAAACTCTGTGGTCATCGTTTAGCAGTTGAAGACAAAACCGCCCACTCAGTAACAATCAGGGTATTAGGGTGTTATTTTAGTAGCTGGCAAAGAGCAGCCTTTGTCAGCTGGGCAGAAACATGCCTGTTGCTACCTCACGGTCACACTAAGTATCATTTGATGTTTTTGTTCTTCTGCTTTGGGGCTACAAGGAGTCAACAAGATGTCAATGTGAGACTTTGTTTTCAGTGCATTATAAATGGAAACCAAACCAAACATAATAATCTTCTGAATGCAGGTGTAGTCTTAAAAGATGTTCAAAAATAATCCAGCATTGGCTTTAGAGCTGGACGTTGACGTTAATGCCCAAGACTTGCTCGATAAATTACGATATCCTAGTAGAACTGTTTCAGGTGTATTTTCTGACCCAACGGGGAACGTGACAGAAACACACCCAGGATAGTTTAAGACATGTTTGAAGAGAGGGGAGGTTAATACGGAGAATGTTCGACACCATGTTTGCCTGTGTCAGTCATTCAGTTGTGTACACACACGTTCAGTTATTAGAAAGTACAGGTTGTCCACCATCCTTGTCACAGTTGCTGTTATTCAAGCGATCATTTTCAAGGCGTGTGTTTGTTCAGTGACGTCAGGCGTGCCCACGAAGTTTCAGCCTCGGATAGATTACGAGTCTTAATCGTTAAAGTGGAGGGCAAAGGTATGAAGAGGGACAGGAATACATACCTTGGCAGAGACTACCTTAGTAATTAGTAACCAGTACATGAGTCAGAGTGAGAAAACTGTGGTTTCAGTACACGGACAAAGGAATGTACAGAATGTGTTGAAAGCGGAGATGATAGACGAGCAGAATGACAAAGGTGTTTCAGGTGAAGTGACTGCAAGCGGTCATCTCTGTCATGTCTTTTCTAATTTGATGGTAAAATCTGAACCCCACTCAGCTATCATTTAAAACATAGTTCTGTACAATGATGTAATGTACTGATGTACCCTGTTTTTTGTGTACATTTTCCAGGTCATGTTTGTAAACGAGAACGGGCTCTCAGACATTTCACCTGGTAAAATAAGGGACGAACGAACATAAAACTCGGCAGATACACAAC